CACGAGCTGCTGCTGCACGCCGCGGCGCTGCAGCTGCAGCTGGACAACGTGTCGGCGGCGCTGGACGAGCACGGCGAGAACGCGCAGGACCTGCGCTACCACGGCGCGCACGCGCGCGCCCGCGCGGCCGAGCGCTTCGAGAGCCTCGAGGGGCGCATGGCGGCGCACGAGCTGGAGCTGGGCACCATCGCGGCCAACGTGAACGCCACCGACGGGCACGTGCACAGCATGCTGCGCTACCTGGACGACGTGCGGCTCTCCTGCACGCTGGGCTTGCACAGCCACGCCGAGGAGCTCGGCTACCTCAACCGGTCGCTGCGCCGCGCGCAGGGCGCCGCGGAGCTGCTGCGCGAGCGCTTCGGGCTGCTCAGCGCCCGCCTCGACTTCGACGTGCGCAACCTCTCCATGCTCGTGGAGGAGATGAAGGCGGTGGACGCGCGGCACGGGGAGATGCTGAGGAACATCACCGTGCTGCGAGGTGAGCCGCGCGCACAGGGCCCTTGGCACCCTCRGGGTCCCCATGGGGATGGAGCCTTGGGGACATGGGCAGGGATGGGCGCGTTGGTGGCCATGGGCGTGGGCAAATTGGGGGCTGTTTCATGGGGTTCCTGGGTCCAGCCTAACAGGAGTTGAGCCCTTGGGAGCTTCCCAAGCTGGGGAAAGGGARCACGAGGTGCCCAAGGGCTCTCCCTTGGACTCGGGTGGCCTGGGGTCTCCTCCTCCATGGGCCTGACAGTGGGGTGGTCTTCCCCTGCCCCTCCTGTTTTGGGTGTTTTGGGCTGGCCTCCCAAATTCTCCTGGTCCTTCACGGTGAAGAGGATAAGGATGGGGGTGAGGATGGGGATGGGAATGGGGATAGGGGTGAGAATGGGGATGGGGATGGGGATGGGGATGGGGATGGGGATGGGGATGAGATGGGATGGGATGGGAATGGGAATGGGGATGAGGATGAGGATGGGGATAATTTTGAGGGTGAGGATGTGGATGAGGATGAAACTGCTTATGAGAATGAGGATAGGGATGAGGATGAATATGAGAATGGAGATGAAGATAAGGATGAGGACAAAGATGTGGATGAGGATGTGAATGAGGATGTGGATGAAGATGGGGATGAGGATGGGGATGACGATGAGGGACAAGGATGGGGTGAGGATGTGGATAAGGATGAGAATAGGGATGAGGATGAGGGACAGGGATGGGGATGAAGATGAGGGACGAGGATGGGGATGAGGATGTGGATAAGGGTGGGGATGAGGAATGGGGATGAGGGACAGGGATGGGGATGAAGATGGGGATGAAGGTGGGGATGGAGCACCCCGGTAGCGTCCCGACGAGGGCTGCAAACCGTGACCAGGGCACAGCCGCCCCAGCACCCCCAACCCCAGCCGGGGGTCCCTGTCCCCGCGCGCGCCGCTCACCCCTGCCCTCCCTCCCCAGGCGTCCCGGGGCCGCCGGGGCCCCGCGGGCCCAAGGGCGACGTGGGCGCC